AAGAGACATTTCTGTGACTAAGAATTTTTCCATTGAAATATTTTCAACCAATAAATATTCCTTGGCTTTTGTGAAAGGTTTTTTTGGTCATATCTTTTGCTGAACCAACTGTGTAGTTAGGAGAGATGTTACACAAGCTTTCAAGCATAAAATTGCCCTTTTTCATGTCTAGGATAGAAGCAGACACAGCTTTAGCTAAATATCAGATAAAATAATAACGTGTACAACTCCATGTGCAAATGAAAACAGTCTGCTTAAAGGAATAGACGAAGTCTGTAAAGTAGGGGCAAAGATATTATCAGGAGTGTTTCAAAAGAAAAGAAGTACAGCAGAAGAGGTAATCTAATTAGTGGAGGAGCAAGACCATTTAAAAGGCAAAAAGGGTCTTTATTACCTTTGATGAAATGCAGGGAGATTAGTAAATATAGTAGGGAGATTACAGAGAGCCATAAAGCCATTGTCAGTGTTTAGTCCACGTGTTTCAGTGTTCAGCAAAGTTATGAATGTCTATTTCCAAGCCCATCGTCTGAAGGTGTTTTGTAGATTTGCCTTGAATATAAGGATTGTGAGGTCAGAAAGGAGTGGTGGTTCTATGAAAAGCATCAGCTATATGTATCTGTCCTTTACATTTTTTTTCTGTGATAGTTTATTCTAGCGGATAGTTTCCATGAGGGCATTTGGTGCATTGATGAGACATGTATAGGACATGTAGGAATGTGGATGAGATTCTGTGATAGACATGTATGATCTGTGGATTCTGATAGTTTTATTGGGGGGAGAGAGTGTGTGGTGGCAGCGGAAGTATGTTGACAGGTTTTGCATTTGTACTTAGAGCAGGGTTGCGTCTGGTTTGGTGTCTGTTGTTTAGTGGGAAGCCTGTCTAACTCTATATCAACTATACAGTTGGTCTCGTAAAAGATGCCACTCTAAAAAATCCTTGCCTCTCACATAATTTCTGAACCATTATGGCTACATTATGCTACCTTCCTGATCAATGGTACTTTTCAGATTGGTGAGGTGGGTATCATGAGTTTTTGCCTGCCTCTGTAGCAGGGGGCCTGACCTTTTACCTGGGATCTCTTGACATATATTAACAACCATTTACAGAAGCAGAATGTCGGCTGCCATGGTCCCCCTGCTTTACCTGTGGCAGGTTAGGATGTTATGTCTTATGTTGTGTCAGGGTTTGAGGGTACTTTTACTATACGTGTATAGGATGGATTGGACAGGGATGATCCAGCCCCAGGCAGGGGGTGTTGTACTAGATGTCCTCTGGAGGTCCTTTCCAACCCTACTTCTCTATAATTTCTATGATTTCTCCTCTGACCAGATGTAGTAATTTCTGAGGCATGGGCAGATCTAGGATTTTGAAAAGAGGGGTACAGATGATGTAGCGTGTCCTTACATATAACACAACATATGCTTTTATTTCTCCAATTAAAAAGAAACTAAAAAGGTTGCTAATATGCTAGAGGCTTAGGCATTATTCAATTTAAGACTGAAATAAGCTTGAAACAAGCATACTTTTATTGAAATGTGTATTAATTTCTTATTATAAAAACACACTAAATAGGAAAATAATCATCAAAAGCTATTAGAATTAAATGTACACATCTTATTCAGATTCATAAAATCTAGAGGGTCTTGACAATACATCCAACACCTCAGCCTAAACTATGGCTCTTTACACTTTATATCGTGTGTGTGTATGACTACACAAAACTACCACAGAAAAAATACCTGCACTACAGTAGGGAAGGGCAAACAGTAAACTGATGTTAACTGCACAATAACTTTCAGTCTCAAGAACACTAAATAGCAACACAACTGGGAGAGATCTGCAAGGTATGGGACTGTAACACAGGGCGCATCCAGACAAGTGTGTATGTGTGGTTTGCAGTGCTACAGACCCACCTGCGGAGCTGCAAACTGAATACACTGCACATGCACGTGTTTGCTGCAATGCTGATTTGCAGCAGAACAGGCTTTTTTTGACACCAGGAGATCCCAGTGTCAAAACAACCCACGCCTGAAAAAAATGGTGGCGCACATGGTGGCAATATGAACTGCCAAAAACTGGAATCTGGCTGGCTGGAGCCACAGTCCAGGCCCTGTGCACCCAGATTGCCACTGCTGGAGCCTTGGGAGCATGAACAACTGGTGCCTCCTAACACTGGGCGGGGGCACCATGGCAACAAGTGGGGACCACCAACAGCCACTGTTGTCAGTGTCGGTGAGCAGAGACAGCCCGCAGCCACTGGCTTCAGTATTGGTAGTAGTGAGCGGTGAGTGGAGGCTGCCCGCAGCTGCCACCGGTGGTGTTGGTGGTGGGGGGACACCTCCTGCAGACACTGCCGCCCACGTCAGCCAGTGGTGGTGGCCAGTCTCAGGGGGGCATGTGCCCCCACTACTCACCTCCTATGCCTGGGAGACCCCCAGGGCCCCAGGTAAGGCTGGTGGGGCCAACCCAGGTGGTGGCCCTAGCCTCCCCTACCCTGACTGGGGCAACTTGCCATGACCCAGAGCTTGCATGCATACATGTTCCCTGGGACAAGTAGCAGTGGCACAACTATGTGACACCTCTGGGCCTAATTCCCTTACGCTAAATAGGAGTAGACTTTACAAGTAGACTCAGGTACATGATAGCAGTGACTTAATTATGGCCTGTTTTAGCATCTGGCTAACATCCTTCCTGGTTTTGCCTGTCAGTTCACCCATTCTTGCTATTACCTGCTATAAGAAGATACATGTTTTCCCATTTGAGAATTCAATCATAGAAACCTTAAGGGCCAGTGGAAGCATTTGAGAGATCACTAGCCACTGAAATGACCTATCATCACAGGAATAATTAAAATTGGTTTAAGAAAATGATTTAAAACATTTTTAGAAGTTTAAAATGACATTTTTTCTGCTCTTAAATTTATCCTACCATAAGTTTTCTTTACTGAAGAGTAAGGTATTTTATTTTAAAATGGCACAGACTCAGCCTAACTTTAAACCATTTTTGCAGATTTTAGAGGCATTTTTGGGTTGATCTGCCCCTTGGTAGCAGTGTGCCCTGGTTTCCACGTTTACGCACCAAATCCAAAAATATGTCAGTGAAAATACTTCAACATTGGCTGCCTCCCGGAAGTTCAGATGCTCCCCTAAAAAGAGGAAGGTTTCAAAAACAGCTATAGAAATAGCCATTAGTCTGGATCATGTGTGTCAGGAGTAGATGGATGGGGTGTACTTGGGTGTGCCTGGCCAGGACTTGCTGCTTCAGGGGTGTAGACACGTCTTTTGTCTTCTCTGTGATTCCCAACTTCACTGTTGCTTGATTCACTATTTTCCTGTACTCCTAACAGGAGACCATACAATTCCTGTGGTTAAGACCTATGACACTTTCCCTTACTTTATCCCCATATTCTATGCATGTGTTTATAAATATGTGGCTGACCTCATTAGGCATTTTATATTTGGGAGGAGATTTTCTCACATGTACTTGCTGTTGGGTTTCTTCCATCTTCTGAAATAACTTTTTCTGGCCAAAGATGTGATGGTGGATAATACACACTATGGAACCATTCCAATATAGCCAGTCCTATGTTATTATATTTTATATTAGTCCTCTAAAAATGTTTTATGATTTTATGAGTGTTTTACCTCTAACTTTTGCACTGTAAGAACAAGACCTTGAACTGTTGGAGTAAACTGTCTGTCAGCTATGGATGATATTTCTAGACACATTGACATTTAAGTTATGTCGTTTAATGAGAAATAAAATACCCATAAGAAAGTCTTGGTTGAACAAGAACAAGTTGACCTTGGTGTGGGGAAGAAAAAAAACAAAAACATTTTATTTGCTTGTTTATTTTAGCCCCCAGAAGAAATTTATTCAGCCGGGGATGCTGTTTTACTCCACTTTCATACTGATGATACAATCAACAAGAAAGGATTTCATATACGATACAAAAGTATAAAATACCAAGATAGCATTCACATCAAAAAATAATGCAGGATCCTAATTTCCAGAAAATAAGACAGGACGAGAGAACACACAGTAGAAAAAAAGAAAATGTGTATGTTTGTTTAGTTTGTTTTTGATGGAATTTATCAGTACAAACATTTTATATTACATGAGTTCATTTGAAAGGAAATCTTATGAGACCAGAAACATCTCAGTTCAAAAAGAAATGTTCAGGGATCCCAGTGGAATGGACATGATGACAATGTGTGGAATCCATCCTTGACTGTCTCTACAAAGCTGATGAAAGGGCATTGCATCCTTGCAGGAAGACTATAAAAGCTTTTGTTCATAGTTTGACATTTGTCATAGATACCTGTAGAGTCAATCAGCCAAATTCAGGGGAAGTGACCCTGCAGACTGCTCTTCATTCTGACAATTGTCTGATGTCTAGAAGACAAAGCTCCTTCAGGTCACATACTCAAAATGCTGTCTTTATATCTTACACTAATTGCTGTGGCTGTGTATCTGAGATACAGTGCATGCAAAGACAAAAAAAACGAAGCTATGAAATGAGAGGCTCTTCTGAAGTTGGTCTGTAAATTTTAGGAATTTCATTCATCCTATCAGTGTGCTGAAAGTGGAAAACTCATATCTCTGAAACATAACTGATCTTTAGAACATTTTTGTTTTAACACCTTTAAATGTCTGAAAGTTTGTATACGTCATCATATTTTACTTGGAATTTGGATAGCATAAAGGGATGAAAGTATTGGGTTTATTAATTAAGTATGGTATATCTGATGATGTGCTCTTATCTTGCACTGAGCCTAAAAAGAGACTGAGTTCATACTTTATCAGCCTGTTATATAACAAAATCCTTGTCCATTGGGAAACAGAAATAATCATGATTGGAGTCATCTAAAACTCCACTTACTGATTTTATTTTCAGTTGTAAAAGTGTAACCGCTGCTAACCTATATTTCTTTGGGCCAGTTTGTGAAGGAGCTATATCTCTGTTTCAGCTGATGAAAGGCTTCCTAAACAGTTGAGAGAACAGGAGCATTTGTTTTCTGGGAATAAGACTTTCTGTGATGGCAAAAAACCCCATAAAAACAAAGCAAAAACCCAGGATGTGTCGTTGAAAGATAATTTCTATGGTGCTATTCCATGAACATTAAAAACAAAAAAAACAAAACCAAGAAATTTAGACCTTTGAGCTAACAACTTAAGGATCATGAATGTCTCACTATGCCTGGCTGCATCTGAAGAATAAAGACTTATTAAGCGTTATGAAAAGATCATTGCAATGGCAGCACTAGTCCTGTGGAACAACTACTACTATTGCCTTAGAATTCTTGCACATGATCAAACAGATCTTCCTGTAGATACATCTTTAATTTGATAAATAATTTGACAAATTGAACATTTTAATGTATGCTAAGAAAGAGAACTTCAAGCAAAACCCATCTGCAGAGTTAGAGCATCTGCTGTAAATACATTGACCTGCTTTGATGTAGAAATATGCTACTTTTAGAATGAACTATTCTATGTGCTTTAAGCCAGACATGGTTTTAGTCATGATGTATATGCATTATGTAAGTATGTTTGAATGAGTGCTCTAGAAGGGTGGAAGTGCTGTATGGATGAAATGTTGAATTGTTTATGTGCCAAGTTCTATCAGAACTGTGTTCGACTGTAGCAACTTTCCTTTAAAGGTCTCATAGGCAGACAATGAGGACTTCTAGTCAGCAAGAACCAAGTTAAAATGAAATGTTATTTTGATATCCTTTGATGTAGGTTGCTACTCAAAATAGCTTAGTTTCTGTTACCTTACTATGAATATTCACTGGCACTAATAAATCTGGGGTTTTTTTCTTGTTTGTTTTTTGTTTTTATTTTTGGGGTTTTTTTTAACTGAAATAAAACCAAATAAATGTGTGTGTGTCATTGGCTATCTTAATACCCAGTTTATATTTCTGTATCACTCCTTTTCTTTCCAGCTTATGTATGCAAATGAATTTCAAAAGAATGAATCATATTCCTCATCGAGATGTAATTGGACTTGTATAATCTTGCATCCCTATCATTTTCTTTCAGTTTTTCAGGATACATAAACAGGAAGAAACAAACAACGTAACCTGTATGAGGGAAAAACTGTTGTTCAAAATCCTTTGCTTACAAAATTCCATCATAAAACTTGATGTAGCACAAAACTGTTTTAACTTTAATGCACAATATAATTTCATAGTTTATGTTAATTCTAGCACTGCTTAAGAAAACTTATCCTTCAATAGCATATTTAAAGTGTTAGAGTGTGCCTGGGGAAGGTAAAAAGGTACAGGGTTGTTTGACTATTTCCATATAACATGTCACATCACCCTTTTTTCAGTGGCTTTTACGATCTGGCCTCTTAAAATTTTCAGCCAAACTGCACTGAAAAATATTTCATCCTTTTACCTCCACTTAGTAAATATACTCCATTTCCTAATAATATTTATTCTGACCACAGAATTTGGCCCTCAGTTATCACTATTGAATAAGATTGTCTAGGTGCATGTAGGAAACGGAAGACTTTTCATTCATTAATCTCCCATTCCTATGAAAATGTATAGTCAGAATGGCCAGTCAGCTTCATGCTGGGGAAGAGAGTATAGACTAGCCAAGCTGAAGACACAAGTGAAGAGACCACCAGGACAAATCCCTCAGAGCTGTCATGCATGTACATTCTATAAATGACTTCTATTCCAGCCCCGTTGCAGTAGGTCTGAAGTTGATATTCCAGCACTGAGCATGAAGGAGTCAGGGGGGCTCCTATGTTCACTGACAGTGATTTGTACTGTCTTTATTCTTCAAGTATTGCATCTAAGTGCTTAGACTTTGTAAAGGTAGGTTAAAATTTATCTTCAGTGGTTACTTTGGCTATCCAAAACCTCGCATGCAGTGACTGTGTCTACTTTTGTGGTATGCCATGAAAACTAATTTAAACAAAATGGAAACATTTCATAATTCTTTGACATTTTGGCTTAAAATTGTTACAAAAATCACTTATTCAGTGTTTTCTGTTTCTCTGTTTCATGGCACATGCTACAGAGATAAAGTATCCTTTATATTTCCAATGATGAAATATGAGTAATGTTTTTAAAAAACACCATATTTTTGTCAATGAAACCTTGAAAACTACAGTGTGTATTGTAATGAACTTTTTGGAAGACTTCAAAGAAAAATATACAAAATGGCTGAAGTGGTATTTAAAGGTATAAAATAGTGCTCGCAATGGACTGTGAATGCTCCAGTGAAAAGTGTTAGGAAACCTAGAATTAAATCCTAGTACTATTGAAATCATGACAAAATCTCCACTGATTCTCCACCCTAAATCACCACCCTAAATTTTAGTCTCAGCCTTGTCACCAGCTCAGTTATCTCAGGTAAGTCCCTTGACCTCAATTATTCCCTCTATAAGATGGAGATAAGATTTGTACTCAATTTTGTGAAATGCTTTGAGATTTATAGATGAAATAGGTTAACTAATATAATTAATTCTAGGAAATATTAAATGAATTAGTATTAAATAGATTTGATGTGTACAGCAGGGTCTTGTCCTACCAGTGGCCACCATAATGCAGTTGCAATTGGTCCATTCTGTTCCATAGGCCATGGTACTGAGCTAATACCATGTCCAGATAGATAAGAGATTTATATCCCTTGAAGACTTTTACCTCATAATGAAAAAAGGACAAAAGTCAGTGACAATTGATTTCAGAGCATTGTTACTTCAGTTTCAAAGGAGCAGCTGAAACCAAAATGTCGTGTAGATCTGGATAAAATGCTGTGCTCAGCCTGTCTTTTTGTCTGTATGCAGCTTGTTAAAGTATATCACAACATCTAGTTGGGGGGCCCAATGTCTGGTTAGGAAGAGATATCAAGTGGGGTTTCTCAAAGATCTGTCCTGGGTCCAGTACTGTTGAATATACTCATTAATGATTTGGGTAATGGGATCGAGTGCATGCTTAGCAAATATGCAGATGACACCAAGTAGGTTGGAGCTGCAGATGCTCCAGAGAGTAAGGTTAGGATCCAGAATGACCAGAATAAACTGGAGAATGATCTGCAGTTAATCAGGTGAGGTTCAACAAGGACAAGTGCAAAGTCCTGCACTTGGGCCTGAACAATTGTGTGTACAAATACAAACTGGAGAATAAGTGACTAGGCTGCAGTACTGCAGAGAAGGACCAAGGGGTTACAGTAGACCTTAAGGTGAATTTGAGCCAACAGTATGCTCTTATTGTGCAAAAAAACCCTGCAGAAAACCAAAAAGCCAGCAGCATACTGGGATGTATTAAAAGGAGTGTTACTTACACATCATGGGAAGTTATTCTTCTGTTCTATTCACAATAGATGAGTCCTCACCTGGAGTCCTTTGTCCAGCTCTGGGCTCCACACTTGAAGACGTATGTGCACAGTTTGGAAGGAGTTCAGCTCAGGCAACAAAAAGGATTAGGGAGCTGGGAAGCAAGACTTACGAGGAAAGGCTGAAAGAACTATAGTGATTTATCTTAGAGAAGAGAAGACTGAGGTGGGGATTTGATAACAGTCTTCAAATACCTGAAGGTCTCATTATATATCTCTATGGAGATGAGGTTCCTTGGATGAATCTGATATCTTTTATTAGACCAATTCAAATAGTTGGAAAATAGTTATTAGGCAAGCTTTCAGGTTCAAAAACCTTCCTTCAGGCTAAGGAAGTTTCAGCAGTTGGTGTGTGCTCTTCCTGGATGGAATGAAAAGTAAAGAAGCCAGCACCTGGGCTGGTATGCATACAAGATAGGTAGTCAGTGAAAATGTAGATTGAGGAGTCAATGGGTGAGAGACAGGCGAGGGGTGGTGGGGAGAGAGAGAAGGGGGATGAAAGTGGAGAGATACCTGGGGAGTCAGATGTCAGGCAGGTTATAATGTGTCATATATCCAATGTCTATATTTAGATGGGCTTTTCTCTGTGGTTGTAGAGGACAGAACTAAGAGCAATCATCTTCATCATGGGAAATTTATGTTGAAGATTAGGAAAAACTTTCTATGAGAGGTGGTGAAGCATTGAAGCAAGTTACTTAAAGAAATTGTACAATACAGTTGTACAAACTGCTCTTGGAAGTTTTCAAGAGCAGGTTAGATGGACATGGGGTAGGGTGGTTTAGTCAGGGATGATCTTTCCTTGAGCAGGGGCTGCACTAGATGACCCTGTGAAGTCCCTTCCATCACTGTTTTCCTATGATCTTGTATTGTTCTGAGAACCATGAACTAAGGATGAGTTAGAACACATCAGGTTATTAATATTATTATAACATTATTTTTCTATTTCAGATAGTTTACATCAAGTAAGTAATCGGTTGCAAACATGCTGAGGACCACGGTTTGCTAGAAAAGCAAAGGCTATCCTCTGTTTTTTTATACAATAGGAGAAATTGCTCTTGGCCTCTGAAGGCATGCAGTGCTAACTTTTGAAATAGGTGTTCTTCAGCTTCTCTTTTTAACCAAGAATCACCAGAGTTTGACTGCTTCTTAACTTTATTTATTAGAATTTCCATTTTGATAGAAGTTAGTCTATAAGGACATGTCTAGATGAGTGTGCATGTTTGTTTCCTTGGGGACAAATAGCAGTGGCACATAAGTGTGCTGTTGCTACTTGCCCTCTGGAAATGCTCTTGCATGCACGCTCTGGCGCACAGCAATTTGCCCTGGTGGGGTATGGGAGGCTGGGGCCAGCACATGGGCTCCAGTGGCTGCAATCTAGCACACAGAGTATGGCTGGTAGCTGGAGTGTGGCTCCGGCTGCCAGGCTCTGTTTTCAGGCAGTGCACAGTACCCCACATGTGCCACCCGCCTTTTTTCAGGTGTGGGTTTTTTGACACCAGGATTTTCTGATATCAGAAAATTCTGCCACACTGCAAATTTGCAGTATGGTGAATGTTTGCATGTGTGGCACATGTGATTTGTGGTGCTGCAAATAGGACGGTGGCACTGCGTGCCACAAGTGCATGCTTGTCTGGACACGCACTAAGGTGCCACCCTTCCCTGTCTTTTATCTAGCTTTGGTTGAACATGGATAAGAATCCACTCTGTAGTAATGAGTGATGGAAGACCAGTGAGGTTGCACAAGTTAATAATTGACTATAGTAAAAGTTCATTGCTCTATTTTTTCATTTACAATTTTGTAAAATTGGATGCAAGAATGAAGGGTGCATTGTAAGCAGAAAACATGACAGGAATGAGCCAAGCACAGTCAGTGTGCAAGATTCAAAATATAATTATACTGTAGTAAAGAGAAATACTGAATTTATACAAAACAGCAGATGTCTGTGAACCAAAGTCTGCCCTCTGTTATACCCTAGCAAAGGTTCTAACTTTTACTGAAGCCACTAGGGCTTTCAAATGTAACAAAGGGTGGAATTTGGCTGATTTATTTTAGAAGTTAATTTTAAACAGTACATGTATTCATTATCAGTCCCAGCAAAATAAACACTCTTGTGCAGCAGATGTGCTAATCCTCCAATTAATCTTTCATAATGATTAAATGCTTTGTACTATATTGCTTCCATCTTTGCTAAAGAAGACTTATGTAATTAGTTAGATGAGTGGATTAGTCAGTACATTATCATCTCCAGAACTGCAATGAACTCTAGGCACCCTAAGAACAATCTGTGTGCAGGTCATTTTGAGGAACTAAATCCCTTACAGCACAATCTTTATGGAGCAAAACATAATAGTAAAGCTTATCCTAAATAATTTCTTGCTTGCTATCATGTATTAATGGTATAATATAATTCATCAATATTTTTTTCCTTTGGAATCTCAGGTTTAACTCATAGGTGCTATATAAATAGAGAAAAATGTATGCCTTTTGTGAATTTTGTAATTAAGATAATTAAAAAAAGCAGGCAGCCAAGTCATACCAGTTTAAAAATTAAATGTATCAAATTCAACATAGACACCAGTTAAGCCAAAGAAACTATTCTAATCAAATTTCTCATTTATATTAGGCAACAATTCTGAATTCCTGATGACAGCAACGTGTTGCACTCACAAAGCATAATTCAAATAGAGCTTGTTGAAAAGGTCTACATAAAGAAAACAACAAACAGCTGAAATCTCAACTTCTTGAGGCAG